TATATCAATAAAATTCTTATATTTTAATTGGTGATAAAATATTTGAAGTACTTATTATTTATTCAATTATTTATTTTAAAATCTGGTACATGTATAATAAATAAAAAAATACTATTTATAATTCAAAAAACTATTAATTAATATATCTAGTATCCTGTGTAATAAGCTTTAAATATATAAATAAGTTTTGGTTATTTTATTTAATTATAAATCTGAATATATAGTTTTTTTTTAAATTATTAATATTATTTAGAATTTAGAATCCCTTTATTTAGTAGGTGTTTATTTAAAATTTTGAATATATTTACTTAATTATTATGTTATTTATAATTTTGAATTTACTTAATAAATATATTATCTATAATTTATTATCCATTTACTTAATTAGCATATTATTTATAATTTAGAAACTATTTACTTAATTATGATATGATTTATAATATAGAATCTAGTTTATTCAATTATTATATTATTTATAATTTATTATTATAATTCTTCTATTTATATTTTGAACATATTTACTTCTTTTGGGGGACGATAGAAAGTATTATAAATTAAAACGCACAAATGTGCAAAATAAATTAATTTAATATTGATCCCTTAAAAATAATGTATATAATTCAGCGACACCACAAGACATCGAGAATTTGGCATGCCATGATAGTGCGGACGCATATGAATTCACACATTTTTAAGATGGGGTTTTATCCATTAATTTTACAATCTTGTCAACCTAACTTATTGACTAATAAAACTGATAGTCGATGTCTCTTCGACCCATATAAAAAAATAGCTCTGACTCTGATGAGGAAGATACTATTATTATATTTTAAGTGTGACTCATTACTTTATATTAACTCCATTACTAGGATTATACGCCTTCAGATGGACATGTATGTACGCTCCTAAATAATTTTCTATAATCATCCCGTAAGATATCTATTTCCAATGATCCGTAATAAATTCATCTGATATGAAAGTTGAAAATCAAAGCACACACACAAATTTACTACATCATCAAATAAATCTGGCTTGATACTAAGTTCATTACTTAGTATCATAGAGGATTACACTATCCACCCTATCCACATAGTTGTTGTGAACCATTCTCTTCCTTTCAACTTTAAGAATCATACAGTAGGCTTTAATCACACTTGGCAATGGATCAATTATCATAGTTTGATTTTTCAGCATATTATAATTGTTATTTAACTCATGAGAAATGTATCAGTGTGGTGTCTGTATCATTTTGTGCAACTATCCTTCCCTATTGACAAATACAGGATTGAATTGGAACAATATTTGCATATTCATCCTACAATTTTTTGTACTTGCTGAAATAGTCCATCACCGGCCGTGTTGTTTCCTTGTGTTAGTGAACTGATTTCTCTCTGTAGCGCATACCTCATCGGTCCATTGTTCTCGCCATATCTCTGACATCTATCTTCCCAAAGACCCTTGGAGGATTCAGCATTGATAAATGACTTTTCAATATCTCGACAATGAATTCAAAATCCACGACAATCGTCCAATACCTTTTTTCAAGGAGGACAATCATCATCATCATTCACATCAGGTTTTAATTTTCACCTTTAAAAGGATCGAGCTTCATTTTTGCACCTAGAGCGATGATCATAGACCGTTTACAGGAAAAAAATTATTTATATTTAGAGGATTCGAGACAAGCATCACCAAGATGATTTGAGCCATGTAAAAACAACGAACATTAACCTTGAAGAGCTCCTCCTTGTTTCACTCCAGATCCCAAAACACTGAACACATTTTCTCTTCTGGACTCCATAACCGAATCGAAATTTCTTCCACTGTAACCCTGGATCTCACTCCTCACTCCGGTACCATGTTGACATCAATCATGGTCAAATGTTTATTTTGGGGAAGAATCATTGAATTCGAAGAACTCATTTTCTTAGCTCAGAAAAATGAGAAAAGAACATACACTTTTGCCCAACTTATAGCATGTCTCACATGTAAGACAAAATAAAAAACGGGAAAGGTAAAACGATGCGTGAACTTAACAACGAAAAAAAATGAACGAAAAGAAAACACGACTTTCTTAGCTACACGACTATGACATAGTCCTAAACAACTGATGGCAGCAACTAGTGAGTCACTCCAAGGACCTTTTTTTTTTTATTGAGATGATAGAAATAGTCTCATTAAAGAACAAACCGAAGTTTGAATACGGAATAAGGCCGAAAAAACAGGGAGAACCACACGCAAGTGGCACAAACCAAATCAAACACACCAACAAACAAGGGTCTAAGGCAGTAACAAAACCCTTAGACCCTAAACAAGAACATAAGCATAGCAATAGAAAGACAAACAAGAAAGCCACCATAGGGACCCCTTTTAAGCATATATCCCTTCTTTAGTGTATGACCTATTCGCTTCCATCTAATAATACGCCCGCCATCATTTTCAACGTAGAAAGTTTTTTCAACACCGCCAAAGCCAAACTATATAATCAACGAGGAAGCTAACGCGCACACGTTCCTTTTTTAAGTTCACATTCTCTGCTCAAACACTCGAAAAGAAAATTAATAATAACCAAATTAGACATGAGCCTCACCAAGTACCTCATAATTTTCATATCCTTGATTCATCATCAACTCATCTCCGCAGATTCTAACTGCCTCCGACGCTCATTCCGCTGTCCGAATGATCTGGGCCTTCTCCAATTCCCAATCTCTAGCGCCAATCAAACCACGTGTCGCGGCCCGTTGGCCGTCGACTGCGCGGGCCCAAGAATCCAGCTCGAGAACGGCGGCCCGTGGTACGATGTCGTCCGCCGGATATCCGAAAGCTCGTTCAGGATCCGAGACCCGCTTCTCCAAACCAGACTGAACGCATCCAGCTGTAGCTCCTTCGTGCGGGGCCTGAGCCTGCCGACGAGCTCGCCGAGTATTTCGCTGAGGGCATCGTCCCGGGTCATGACCGTTTTCCGGTGCAACGACCCGCCCCTGAATCAGGACCCGACCCTCATAAACCGATACTTCTTCGCACAGAACTACACCAGGTTCGCGGGCTGCCCCGGGTTCGTGGTGTTCTATAGGTCGCCGGGGAACTGGTCGGATGGCGGAGAAGTCGGCGTGCCGGAAGCGTGCGAGGCTGTGGTGCTGCCGCTCGGGGGTTCGAGGGATGTGTTTGGTTTATTTGGGGGGTTGAGTGGGGAGTTTGATGTGGAATGGAATGTGTCTGCTGTTTGTTTGGAGTGTTATCAAAGGGGAGGGGTTTGTGGGAGTAGTAATGGGAATCACTTCACTTGCAGATCAGAAGGAGGTAACCATCATCAGTAGCTTAAAATATTGTTCCTTTTTATTTTCTATCTTTTAAATGCATTTTTTTTTTTTAATTTTCAATATTTAGGTTGTGTTTAGTCGACAAATAAGCTAGCTTATAGTTTATTTAGTTAGCTTATAAGCTTTTTTTATTTAAATAAGTTTTGTTTTGTGGGACGAGCTTTTGGATCTTAACTCATAACCTTATTTGGACAGCTTTTCAAATAAGTTCGTTAAAATTTTTATTTCAAATAATTTATCAGTTAATTCTGATTTTATCGTATAAACTTACTTTTCAGTTATGTCATAAGATATAAGTTATAAATTCAAAAATTATTGATAAACTATAAGCTAGCTTATCAGCTTTCGGTTAGTTTACCAATTTGAAAAGTCGGTGTTTTGAAATGAGTTTCTCAACTATATTTTATTATATTTAGACAATTTTAACCATTCGCAATCTTTTCTGATGACTTACTATTTTTATCCATAAATGTTGACTTTGAGGTTTCGTGTTTGGTTTCGTGTTCTCTTGTCCTGATAAAGACTTGCTTTTATGTTGCTTTTGTTCTTAAAGGAAGGTTCTTTTTGGTCTTCTTTGGTCTTTCAGGTAAAAAGAACACAGTCAAAGTGGCTCTACTCACAGGTGGCATAGGTGGTGTGGTTGGCCTCTCAATCACTCTCCTCATCTCCTTCATTTTGTTCACCAAGGGATATAGACTTTACATCAAAATGGCCTTTACTTGGCAAGATAAACAAACAAAAAGACATTGAAGTTTTCCTCAAAGACCACAAGAATTTCGCCCACAAACAGTATCGATACTCGGATCTCAAGAAAATCACAAAGTCGTTCAAAGAAAAGCTCGGCGAAGGAGGCTACGGCAGTGTGTACAAAGGCGAACTTCCCGACGGCCATCTAGTCGCCGTGAAGATGCTCATAAACGAGTCCAAAGACAACAACAATGGGAGCGAGTTCATAAACGAGGTCGCGAGCATTAGACGAACCTCCCACGTCAATATAGTCACCCTACTAGGCTTTTGCGTCGAGGGCTCCAAACGGGCCCTCGTCTATGAGTTCATGCCAAACGGCTCTCTCGACAAGTACATCAACAATACTCTTGAATCTCAGTTCTTGGGATGGGAAAAACTGTCCGAGATCGCACATGGCGTCGCTCGGGGACTCGAGTACCTACACCAAGGTTGCAACACGCGGATCGTGCACTTGGACATGAAGCCCCACAATATCCTTCTCGACAGAGAGTTCAACCCGAAAATCTCGGATTTTGGGCTAGCGAAACTATGTCCTAACCGGTCGAGCGTAGTGTCTATGCGTGGGGCAAGAGGGACGATGGGGTACATTGCGCCAGAAGTCTTTTGTAGGAATTTTGGCGAGGTTTCGTATAAATCTGATGTTTATAGCTACGGGATGATGGTTTTGGAGATGGCCGGTGGCACAGGGAATATCAAGAGGGTTGATGTTGACAATACAAGTGATGTGTATTTTCCAAACTATTTGTACAAGCAACTGCAGATGGAGGTCGGAAGTGGGGTGAGGCTCGATAGGGTTGTGGATGGAGACGAGAGTGGGTTAACAAGGAGAAAGTTGATAATCGTGGGGATGTGGTGCATACAGATCGACCCAAAAGATAGGCCGACGATGAGCAAGGTGATTGAGATGTTGGAGGGAAAATTAGAATCGTTGAGTGTACCACCAAAACCCTACTTATCTTCGCCACCGAGACCAGGTGCGTGTTCGTTGGCCTCTTTGCAGCAAAGTTCAACTCCGAGTTTATCATCCTCTCGTTCTTTGTAGGATATTATGCTCTATCTAGTGATGTTTTTTTTTTTTT